AGCAAAGACCTCCTCCACAAGACAAGCACCTGACTCACCCTTGCCTCTCGACGAGATTCGAGAGAAGCTAAATGGGAGGAGGAGGAAGGGGAGCAGACGGATGCTCGTGATCTGGTCGAGCTCGAGTCTAGATTTCCTGGACCCTTTGTCCCACAAGGTCGCCCAGCCTGCGTCCGCTCCTGACGCCAGTCTCGGTTCATCCCGCGTCGAGGCGCTCGTGTTCGACTCATGACCCTGACCGGACAAGCCTGGGGGGGTCGATCCTGAGTCGCTTGGCCTCGACACTCGGGGGACAACTGGCAGCCCTAGCTCTGATGGGCGGGACAGAGCGAATCCAGGGAACCTGGCGACAAATTCCAAACCGGCGGCCTCGCGTAGGACATCCTCGGGAAAACGCCCCCAGAACCTCCCCAAGGAAGCCCTCTCAGAGGCCCCCCTGTTCCGTTTCAGGCGACGTCCGGGAAATCTGGCGACGAAATCCAAACAGGCGCCCTCGTGTGGGACATCCTTAGAAAAACCGCAGCCGGAGCCTTCCCAAGGAGGCCTTCAGAAGCCCCCCTGTTCCGTTTCAGGCGACGTCCGGGAAATCCAGCAAATCCGGGGAATCCGAGGAATCCGGCGACGCATTCCAAACGGGCAACCTTGCGTGGGACAGCCTCAGAAAAACCGCAGGCCCCGCTCCATTTCAGGTGGCGCCCGGCCCTTCCAAAAGGAGTCCATCTGGCGCGCCGAATGGACTCCATCGAGCGCGCGGCGTTGAAGGTCCCCGCAAACCGACCCCCAAAAATGTCCTGGCGAGGGACTCAACCATATGCAACTTTGGGTACCGCAGTTGTGAGCCCCGCCGTCGGTGGAGCTCCCTGTGGGGCCACGAAACATGTGAGGGGTGTGCAGAAATGGGTGCTATGGCGCCATGAGAACCCAGCCAGTGGGGCCTTCGATGGAGCTCCCTGTGGGGCCACGAAACATGTGTGAAGGGTGTGCCGACATGGGGCGGGGCCGCCATGCGAACTTTGCCACTGGGGCCTTAGGTGGAGCTCCCCATGGGGCCAGTGTGAGAGGTGTGCCGAAATGGGCGTGGGGCCGCCATGCGAACATTGCCATTGGGGCCTTCGGTGGAGCTCCCTACGGGGCCACGAAACGTGTGAGGGGTGCGCCGACATGGGGCGGGGCCGCCATGCGAACTTTGCCACTGGGGCATTCGGTGGGGCTCCCCATGGGGCCACGAAACGTGTGAGGGGTGCGCCGAAATGAGGCGGGTCCGCCATGCGAACATTGCCACTGGGGCCTTCGGTGGAGCTCCCTATGGGGCGACGAAACGTGTGAGGGGTGCGCCGAAATGAGGCGGGTCCGCCATGCGAAAATTGCCACTGGGGCCTTCGGTGGAGCTCCCTATGGGGCGACGAAACGTGTCAGGGGTGCGCCGAAATGGGACGGGGCCGCCGTGCGAACTTTGCCACTGGGGCCTTCGGTGGAGCCCCCTATGGGGCCACGAAACGTACGAACTTTGCCACTGGGGCCCGGGCCAGACTCGCGCAGATGGTCCTCGGAGTACCCGACAGGATCCAGGACGTGAAATCCCTCGGCCCTGAGCGCTGCCGACCAATCCCTGTATTCCGCATGAACCTCCTGCGTCGGGGGGGGGTCCTGGGAGAGGTGTCTTGTCTCCACAAGGGCAGCCCGTGAGAGGGTCAGTCTCGGGAGGTTGTCTCGGGAGAGGTGTCTCGCCTCCACAAAGGCAGCCTGTGAGGAGTCCAGTCTCGGGCGGGCGTCTCGGGAGGGCGCCGCCCGCATGTGGCCACGCCATTTATTTCGGCGCATCCTTCACACGTTTCGTGGCCTCACAGGGAGGTCCACTGAATCTGATGCTCACAACTGCGATTCTCACAACTGCACATGATTGGGTATGTCGGCATGCTAGTGTATGGTTTTTGGCCTATGTGAACGATATGGCTGCGGTGCTTATCAAGTTAATAGACTAAGTTAGGACTTCATCGTGTCACAACATGCATTGACATAGGTAAATATGTGAAGCGTTAGCTAAACCATGCTGACGTTTACTCAGTTCGGTGTTGGTAACTCTCAATACATCTCGTAGGTTTTCGCAAAACCCTTAGCTAAACCTTGCAATCGTTGGCAAGCGCGAAAGTCATCTCACTGGGAGCCTCGGGGACTGCCGTCTTGGGGGTCTCTGGGGCTGTTTTGGAAGCGTCTGTGGCCATCTTGGGGGTTCTTGGGATGGGCCTCTCGGGCCGCCTTGTAGGCGTCCGGGGCCCTCTTTGGAACTCTTGGGGTGTCTCGGGGCCCTCTTGGAGCCGTCCTGTGCAATGCTGGGGCGATCCTGGATGCCTCTCGGGACGCCTTGGGGCGTCGAGAAGCCGAAAAGGCGAGAAAGCCAAACTCTCTCGAGACATTGACAAAACAATAGGTGTTGCGTCTCTTGGGGCCTTCGGGAGGCCTTTTGGTGGCCCCCCTTGGGGGCTCTGGGGCCTCCTGGGGGCCTCGCGAGGCCGAGGGCTCGAAGTGTCCGTTCGGGTCTCCCGTCTGGGCCCCCCCTTGGAGCCGTCTTGAAGGCCCCTGGGCCGTCTTGGAGGCTTCTTGGGCCGTCTGAAGACTGTATTGGGCCATATCGGGCCATCTTTTTTTTTGTTGTTTTTTTTTTTTGGGGGGGGCGGTCAAAGCGAAAAGGCTGTCGAGAAACTCCCTCTACTGAGATGCACAGGCTGCACATATGCATGGCAGCTGCGCAATGTCAAGCCAAACGCGACCACACGTGAAAACACCGAGGACGCACGCTGTACACACGCGGCGGCCAAGAGTCGCATCGGCATGGCGGCTGCAAGGATTGGGACAGATTTGGACGCTGAAAATCGGGGATGGACAGACCTCCCTTTAGTAAAACGTGGTTTAGTGAAAACGACCCGAGGCCCAAACCTGGCGGGCGCAAGCCTGGAAAATAACGGCCACGGCGCCCTCTCGAGAACCGAAAACGGACAATCCACTAATCGACGTGTCACTGTTGGGTTTTTTTTTTTTTTTTTGAAGAGAGGGGGGGCAGAGAGAGAGGGCGCGAATATCCCAAGAACGTCGAGCCACCATTCGCCTTTTCGCGCCAGACTGGGCCCTACCTCGGCGGGGAAGCGGGGGAACTGGACTGCAGGTTTCCGCGTCCATTCCGTCGACACAACACGACGAGCAGGACGATGCTGCGCCACACGAGGAAGAGGAGGAGGAGGAGGATGAGGAGGAACATCTTACTACAGAAGCCACCATACTGAATGATGGATTCCATCGTACGTGGTGTACAGAAAAATTGGCATCGTCATAGATCAGACTAAATCAATAGGATCACACGACGAGGTCCACTAACATGAAACCTAGGCAGCCGCGGAGACACTGTCCACGGCGCGTGGTCGAACTCAAAGGATTAAGCCCCACATAAAGTAAGTCATTGCGATGTGTCGTGGAAACAACAAGGAAGACGGACAAGAGAGAGAGAAGGGGCGAGACAGAGAAGACGGAAGGAAAATGAAACGCCGACCTTCCAACATGGCCGGTGGCTGAACTCGGCGGGGGCTCACGGAGCCCTGGCAGGAGCCCAGCGGCCAGCCAAGCGAGGAGGTAGACGCAATCTCCTTGCACGCCTTGAACTCGGACTGCGTGGAGCCCTGTACACTGTATTACTATCGTGAGCTGGAGGAAGTGGTCCACCACGCCCCGGCCCGCTCGCATGCCCTCCGCACGGCATCAGCGGCGGGCGGCGGATTCGAGGCCTGCCCCCCGGGCCGCAATGGAGCCACCGCTGCCTTGCCCGACTGGAATAAGTGTAACATGTATGGGTTGAAGAGGGCAAGATCACCATCGTACAGACTGAAAAACATCACCTGCGGGCCTTCAGCCTCCAAGGAAATCGCAGCCCAATCCACGAGCGAGAAAGAAGAAGCCCCCCTGTCGCCACCAACCGCCTTGGGCTTCTTCTGTTTCCTCCGATTGCGCTTTTGCTTGGCACCGCCCGCACCGCGGTCCACCAAAGCCTTGCCGTCGTGGATGCTGACCGCCTGGGTGGAATCCGATTCTGATTCATCCTTTTCGGGCCCTAACGTGGCATCAACACGCCAACCTTCGCCAACGACGGGCTCCTCGACGGCCGTAGCCTCCGCAGCCTCCACCGACAGCGTCTCGACAGACAGAGCCTGCTGCTGCGTTGGTGAATGTGGCGGCAACTGCAAGTGCTGCTGTGGCGGGTCACCGGGCCCGCTGGCAGAAGCATCCTTTGAGCAAGCGGGCGCCTCTGAGGAGGGGGCGATGTGCGGCTGCAGTGTCTGTCCCTCGTCGTCCTCCTCCTCCTCGGCCTTTACATGCAGATCAGTAGAGCCGGAACTGTGTAGGATTTCGTCCTCGAACTTGAAACCGGCAGAGAGGAGCGCCCACCCTTCGACCTCGAGTGCTGAACCGTCTATCGTGGTGACGCTATAGACGTGCACGGGGTCGATACACAACCTCTCGGACCTGAAGATGGCCCCTGGCGCCGGGGCCGGCGGCGCCGACTGCTCTGGTGTTCGGCCGAGCTGCTGCAGGGCGCCAGCTGCTCGGGGGGTCGGCGCTGGCTCAGCCGGCCCGGCCGCAGGAAGCGCGGGCGAAGCGAGCGCCGTCGCTGCTGCGGCTCCGGCGGCGCCAGTTCGCTCCGCTGGGCGCCCGGCGGCAGTGAGCGCCTCCCTCGTTCATCAGCTGCGCGGCCGCCGGCGCGCCCCTTGTCCACCGGCATGCCGTCGGCACCAGCGGCGGGCCCGATCGCGGCTCAGCCGGGAACAGCCAGCCATCGAGGGCCGGTGGGCCGCCGCGGGCCAGGCAGCGGGCGCTTGGGCCGGCAGCGGGCCGCTGCGGGCCGGGCAGGCAGGCGGGCCGCCGCGGGCCCCGGGCAGCGGCGCCGCCCGCGGCCGGGCAGCGGGCCGCGCGGGCCGGGCAGCGGGCCGCCGCGGGCCGGGCAGCGGGCCGCCGCGGGCCGGGCAGCGGGCCGCCGCGGGCCGGGCAGCGGGCGCGCGGAAGGCGGATCGCGCGCGCGCGCGGCGCGGGAGCTGGCCGGGGGCCTTGAGCGCGCGAGCGGCCCTGAGCCAGGGAGGGTCACCCTCAAGCGGGGCGGATTTTAGGGTGACCCTTCCAGCCCTTGAGCCAGAGCGCTTGAGCCATCACTGTTGGGGGTTCTGTCCGCCCCCGATGAAAATGGCAGGAAAGAGAGCTGTACACCCGCGAATGAAAAACGCCAGAGTCGGCCAGACATCTGCGCAGAGACTTAGATACATTGGGCCATATCGGGCCATCTTGGAGGCTTCATCGGCTGCCTCCGGGGGATAGTGGGCGCATTTGGGGCTGTTTTGGAGCGTCGGGAAGCCGAAAAGACGTGAATGCCAGAATGCATCAAAATCCCAAGGAACAATAATACTTTGTGAATCTTGGGGTCCTCTCGGGGGTGTTCTTAAAGGCTTCTTGGAGCGTCTTCGAGGCTTCTTGGGCCGTCTGGGCGCTATCGTGAGCGTCCTGGTGCGATTTTTGGGCGAGAATTCTCGGGGCCCTCTTGAAGCGTCTGGGGACCCTCTTGGCGCTTTCTGGTGGCGTCTTGTCGGCCTCAGGGGGGCCCCAAGCGCCCCGGCACCTGCACTTGCGGTCGGGGCTGCGGCCCCAGGTCCCCCCAGAACGGATGCGTGCACCCCACACGTGAAAATTTCAGCCTAACAACAGACTGGCAGATGCATATACGTGGCCACAGAACTGGGCCTCACTCCGCGGCTGTTGCTGGAACTCCCAGCATGCTGGTCACATGGCTGTTGCTGGAACCGCTGGTGTTCGCCTCTAGGGGACCAAATAGCGGCATAAGCGTCACCTGTCGGAGCTCCGTGCGGATTTCGTGGATCAGCGCTGAACCCCCTGACGGCGCCTCCGGCGCCGCGCGCTCCACGCGCCAGGGAGGGCGGTTTCAACGCAGATCCAAGGAATCTGCGCGGACCTCTGACAATTTTTGTCTATGCCGTTTCTCCTTCTCCGAGCCTCGCTCGCGCCGCTGCTTGCACTGCCCCCGTGCGTATTGGTCGCAGGCATGATGCTCTCGGCCGTGCTGCTGCCTGCCGCGCCAGTCCTGCGCGGCAGCCCGGCGGCTCGCGCCGCTGCCTGCTGCAACGCACCCTGCCCGGGCAGCCGCCGCAGCGGGGGCGCCGGCGCCGCCACCGCCGGCGCCGACCCGGCACGACGCGCGCGCGTGCCCGGGTCGACGACGAGCGTGGAAGAAGAGGAAAGCCTGGAGCATCATTCGGCGACTCCGAAGGGCGTGCTTTGCAAAAGGTGTGGGTTGCGACTGGCACCCTGGGAGGCACCCAGGGGGGGCTGGCGAGGACCTCGACAGAGTCTTCCGCCGCCCCGAGGAGGCCCGACGAGGACAGCGTCGTGCTCCCCAGGCCCCAACGGTGCCGATCGCAAACCACACCCCGGCGTAACCGTACCCTTTGTAGTCACCGAGTGATCTCTGGAAAGTCCGAACGAATATCTCTCTTAGATCGGCACGGGGTCCCCCTCGGCGCGCCAGGGGCGCGCCGGCGGCGCCGCCAGGGGTGGGCCCAGCGCCGATCCAAGAGAGATCCGCGCGGACCTCCGAGAGCTCATCTCTTTGCTGGCGCTTCTGCCCCGGGAGCCACGCGTCCGAAGCCAGCTGCGTGTCCCTGGGGTCCAGGGCGAAGCGGCCGAAATTCTGGCGTTGCGGGGGGATGAAAACGTGGCGTGGAAGCGACACGTTGCCACGAGCGGAAGTGCGGGAGCCCATTGCAAAAACCGCGTCACTGCTTGCGCCCACAGGGGTGAATAACTTCGCGCGCGCGGAATCTGGCGCGTGCGGAAGCTTGCGCGTGCGGTCCTCCAGGAAGCTGTGCGACAACACTCGAGCCCGAGAACAAGGGAAGAAGGAAGAGAAACTCAAGGCTCCGAGCCAGGGAAGACGAAGACTTCGAGCCAGAGAGGAGGGGCGAAGAGAAGCCCAAGGCTTCGAGCCGCCAGCGGCTCGAGCCAGAGAGCAGCCGAGGGCGTCGAGCTCCGTCGGGCCAGGGCCACGACGAGCGCGGCTCGAGAGCAGGAGCCCCCTCGCCGAGGGTCCGAGGCCATATTGGAGATACCCCTCCTTCCTCCGCCTCTTCCTCCTCCTCCTCCTCCTCCTCCTCCCTCCGTCCCTCCCTCCTTCCCTGCACGCCGAAGACGAGCACCATGAGCGCGCAAGCCGGAAAATCTGACGGCTGCTCCAACTTGACCCTGCCCGAGACACGTGCCGATCCATGAGGAGAAGATGGCTCGGCTGAAGGGGCAGGTGGCTCGAGAGGAGCGCCGGAGTCCTGCGCCCCCAGTCTGGAATCGAGGGCACAGGAGTCCTGGCGGGCGGGTCGCTGAAGCGTCAGTCGAACATGAATCGCAAGGAAGTTTCAAGCGATATATAGAGAGATTCCCAAACAAATCATGAGGAAATCCACACAGCGAGAGCGTAATGCCCGAGGGTCGAGGGCGCGGCACCGCAAGAAACTGCGTGGAAGTACCACACGAGAGCGCGCTTCTTGGATAAATCATGATGAACTCCCGCGCGAGAGCGAGATGTTGAAATAATTTGCGAGAGGTATCAGGCGGGAGCCATTGTTGTTGTAGCTCGGGGGCCAACAACCCAGTCTGTGCCGCAAGACTTTCCCTACCCTCACGACCCCCTGGGCCGCCCCCGCAGGCCACGGTGACGCCCCCCCCCCCCCCCTCCAGGGACCTCTGGTCGAGCGAAGGGCCAGCCCGAGGACCACCGCGGAGGCCGCCACCAGCGCGGCGCCGTGCCTCCACCGCCACCTCGGGCAGCGGGGGGCTGCGGAGGGGAGGGAGGAGGAGCAGAAGGGGGCCTCGGGCAGCGGCGCTGCGGAGGGGAGGGAGAGGGAGCAGAATTGGGCCTCGGGCGGAGGGCGGTGGGGGGACACAGGAGGAGGAGGAGGAGGAGGAGGAGGAGGAGGAGGAGGAGGAGCAGGAGGAGGAGGCGGAGGACGAGGAGAAGCAAACGGGGGGGGGCGGAAGGACCCCAAACGCACGGCGCCTCGAGCACACCAAGGCAGTAGGGTCGGGTGGTCCGAGTGTGTTTGGCCTCCACGGAGGCCGGTTTCGGGCCTCGGGGCCGTCAAGGGCTGCCTCGGGATGACGAACGGCCCGGGGGGCCGGGGGGAGGGGTCGAGGGGTCCGTGGGCCCAGACATCGAGAGAAGCGAAGCTAGGACGTCTGTGGAGTAGGGATGGCGGAGGAAGGAAAGAATGGTGGGAAAAAGAGGGAGAAGGAAGGAGGAGGAGGAGGAGGAGAAGGAGAAGGAGAAGGAGAAGAAGGAGAAAGAGAAGGAACAGGAGAGTGAGGGATCAGAGCGGAGGGGCATGGCGCACAGCGAGGAGGGAGGAATGCAGGGGGGCCAACGAAGTAATGCCTCCCATCCCACTGTTACACACAGACGCGTGACTAAGCGCTCCATCAGGAATGCGGAACACCACCCTGCCGGTGCCAAGTCGGTGGGCCGCTGGAGCCATCTTCCAGACCGCGGTGTTTCAACCGCCTCAAAACCGAATCAACCACTTGACAAAGACTTGCTTCCGCAGTTGGCAAAGACTTGACGCTGAGGATGACAAGGATGACGATGCGGAGGAGGAGGAGGAAGAGGAGGATGGGAAGGCGAAGGCGGGGAGATGATGAACGAGAGAAGAAGGTGGAGGACGAAGAGGAGGAGGGGCGAGGAGGAGGCGGAGGATTGAGGATAATGATGAGGAAGAGGGGTGGCGAGGACAAGGCGATGCGGAGCAGGAAGAGGAGGAGGGGGGGGCGAAGGGGGAACGAAGATGAACGGGAGGAGGGGGAGGAGGAGGAGGAGGAGGAGGAGGAAGAGGAGGAGGGGGCGAGGAGGAGGAGTGAGGAGGGTTATGACAGGGGGTGGTGAGGACAAGGCGGAGGAGGATCGATCATCGAGGTTAGATCGAAGATCGAGGATGGCGGGGGATCGAGAATCGAGGCTCGAGGATCCGTGAAGGATCCATGGTCTATCGAGGTTCGACGAAGGTCGAATTTCGATCGAGGATCAAGGTTCGATCGAAGACCGAGGATCGAGGGTGGATCAAGGATGGGAGCTCGGTCGAGGGTCGAGGATCGAGGTCCAACCGAGGATCGAGGATCGATCGAGAATTGGGAATTGATCGACGTTGGAGGTTCGGAGGGAGGCGGACGAAGGGGGTGAATGACGAGGAGGCCGGAAGATGGCGGGCGTCTTGAAGGTCCCAGGGCCCACCGCCCACCGGAGGCAGGCTGTGCTCGCTCTGATCGGGGCTCCTGACAGGCCGTCGTCGCCACGGCTGGATTCGCCGAGGGCCCGGCCAGGGCGCGATGCAATCCTGGGGGCTGCTCGTCCCAATCGCCGGGCGCGCGGGGGGGGGCATCCTCCTCCTGTAGCGAATAGTCCAACGGGTGCTCGCCTTCTGTCCTCCTCCTCCTCCTCCTCCTCCTTCTCCTCCTCCTCCTCCTCCTCTTCCTTTCCTCCTCCTCAGCCTCCTCCCCCTCCTCCTCCCCCTCGGGGTGCCCCCCCTCCTCCTGCCCTCGACTCTGCTGGGGCCCCTGTGGGTCCGTCCACTGCGCCCTCTGTTGGAGGGGCGCAGGCGCCCCAGCGTAGGGATCGAGGCCATGAATTCAGGTGGATTCGAGGTCTGTGGGCTTGCACGCGCTGTCTTGCTCGTGTGCGTTCGGACCCTCCGCAGCCAGCTGCGGACTGTCTAGGTTTCAACCCTGTGCTGTGTGCCCTTGTGCAGGAGCCTCAGGGGCACAAAATTCACCTGACGGGAAGCCCCGACGGGGTTACCCTCTTCTGCTGCATGGACTGTGGCAGTGTCTCCGAGGGAGTTAGGCTCGGTGGGCTGGCGAAGGCCTGCAAGGGCGGGCCTTCCTCCAGCCACACGCGTAGCAACCTCTCTCGGCTTAGAAGGGGCATCCATCCCAATAATAGGGATGTGTTGCTTGATGAGCTTGTGCCCCTTGTGGACTTCACCTGTGCTGTGGACGGCGGTGGATCGGTTTCGACTGGTGAGGTGGGGAGTTAGTTGCTGGTGCCTTTCCCTCTTGGGGTAGGGCTGCTAGTGATTTCCTCTCTATCTTGCTGGTCCTAGCCTTTGCGATGCGACGTGTCAAATCAAATCCTCCCCCTCCTCCTGTCTCCTCGTCCTCCTCTTCCTCCTTCTGCTCCTCCGCGTCGACGACGACGAGGGCGCCGCCGGCCATTCTGGGAGGGAGAGAGGAGAAGACGACGACGAAGACGACGCACCAGAATGACGACCTAGATTCTAGTTCGCCGTTCTGGCGGTACTCTTGGGGCACCAGGACAGCGAATTAGATTATAGTTCGCCCTTTTGTGGGCGCCCTGGGGGCACCAGAATGAAGAAGTAGAGAACTAGATTCCATTTCGCACTGGGAGCAAAAGAATGGCGAACTAAATCCCACCAGCCCTCTGGGCGTAGGTGGTCTAGAACAGATCCTCTTCCACCCCTCCCTCTTCCCCCTTGGGGAGGGGTTTACCCCTCCCCCTACCCCCTCCCCTGGACCTGGACGGGGGGGGCCGCGGGTAGTTAGAGCGTCCAAGATGGCCCAAGACGGCTCCAAGAGCGCCTCAGAGAACCCAAGATGAGCTCCAAGATGGCTCAAGATAGCGCAAGATCGCTCACGATGGCTCCTAAGATGGTTCCAAGAAGCCCAAAGACGGCCCCAAGATAACTCCAAGTGGCCAAACAGCTCCCCAAGGAGGCCCCGAAGAGGCCAAAATCGTCCCAAAACCTAAGGAAAATCAATGATTTTTGCTTTCTCGCCTTTTCGCTTCCGATGGCTATCCGAGGCCTGGAGATGGCTCCAAGATGGCCCAAGAGGGCCCCAAGAGAGCCCCAAAAGAGCCCCAAGACGGCCCCAAGAGCGCCCAAGAGCACTCCAAGAGCGTTCCAAGAGGGGTCCAAGAGGCGATTTTAGGGGCTTCCGAGGGGGGACGCTAATTAAACCCCCCCTCTTGTTTGATCGACTCCCTCCAAGATGGCCCCAAAAGCGCCCCGAAGGCTCCCCAGAGCGCCTCAAGAGGGTCCCAAGAGGCGCCCAAGATGCCCCAAGGCGCCCAAAAAGCCCTCCAAGAGGCCCTCAAAAGACCCCCAAGAAGCTCCTTCCCCTCCTCCTCCTCCTCCTCCGATTCTTCCTCCTTCTCCGTCCTCCTCCTCCTCCTCCTCCTCCTCCTCTTCCCCCTCCTCCTCCTCCTCCGACGACGACGACGACGACGACGACGACGACTCCTCTTCCATCCTCCCCCTCTCGGGGTCTGTGACAGCTTCCCCCGCCCTTTGTTATTCTGCATGCTCCCCGACTTCCCTGATCACCTCAACTCCCCTGAGCATCGTTTCTGGATGGGCTGGTGGGGATACGCGAAGCGTCAACAATTCTAGTTCGCCGTTCTGGCGGTACTCTTGGGGCACCAGAGCGGCGGAATAGATTCTAGTTTGCCGCTTTGTGGGCGCCCTGGGGGCACCAGAATGACGAACTGGAGTCTAATTCGCCGTTCTGGCGGTACTCTGGGGCACCAGAGCGGCGAACTAGATTCTAGTTCGCCGCTTTGAAAGCGCACTGGGGGTACCAGAATGACGAACTAGATTCTAGTTCGCCGTTCTGACGGCGGAACGGCGAACTAGATTCTAGTTCGCCGTTTTGAGGGCGCCGTGGGGGCACCAGAGTGACGCACTAGATTCCAGTTCGCCGTTCTGGCGGTACTCTTGGGTATTCTCGGGGCGCAAGAGCGGCGATGTAGATCCTAGTTCGCCCTTGTGTGGGCGCCCTGGGGGCACCAGAGAGACGCGCTAGATTCTAGTTCGCCGTTCTGGCG